CCAACACACACACCCCAGCACCAGCACCATTAGTACCTTTCATCCTTGGAATCTTGGAATCTCTAAAGTCTCAGCCTCCCGGCTCCATACTACCTCCAGTACCTAAAGGCTGAGGTTGGGAGCGTCCTAATCCTTTGACTGATGCTACACATTATCTGGTGAGAAACTTGAGCGGGGTCACATTTCAGCAGTAAAATTTAACTGAGAAATTAAAAATATAGAGAGACCTTTATGAGCTAAGAAAAAAATAGGGTATATTATGGAGCTGTTAAACCAGTGCTAGAAATAATGTATCATAACAAAGAACGGTAAAGAAATAAACACACTTGTACTGTATAATGAGGTTTTAAGTCAGTCTCAGAGGGATGAATCCATATCAGCGCTTCGAGGTGGGAATTAAAAAAAAGTGAGAAATATCTTAAGGGGCAAAGGGAAACCTTCCATGCAGCGGGTAACCTACATGCAGCAAATCCAAACGGGAATGCTAGAATCATTCCAGTAATTTCTTAGGAAGCTATAATGTCCTTAATAAAAGGACTTTTAAAAAAGGCCTAATTAAGATTCTAAACCCACAGCTCTAACAATACTAGCCTATAGAAGCATTAACAAGCTTTGCTTGATGAATTTGGGTCAAGGATAATGTAGGATTAATAGTCTCATGATCCAATACCCTGCGGGCAAACATCATGAATCTTCCTGGTCTTCTGCCACACCTACTGTAGTTTAGTCACTTGCAAATACAAATCTGACTACACTCTACGCACAGATGATCAGTAAGAACCAATATACTGTGGAAGTCCTGGATAGAGAGAAGACCTGAGATTCTTTTTTGGTACAAGTAACTCATAGGTATGGAAACGTCCTTTACCATTGGTAGATTGGCACTTGCCTTGCAACATCAAGCCTTGGGGAGTTACCTGAGTCATCAAGAGGTTAAATAATTTGCCCAGGGTCACATAGCCTGTATGAGTCAGGGCTTTTTTGGCTTTAAGATTGGTCTTCTTTCCACTACACCACACTGACTCTCATGGAAATAGTACAGTGCAAATTTGGTCACATCCCCTGTACCGAGTATTTTAGCACCAAGTAAACTCAATGCCAACTCAAAATAAATGTGGGTCATCATTGGGATAAAATGTATCTTTTCACACTGTCTGAAATGAGCAGCAAAAACATGTACCAAAATTTTCTCTGGAAAACTGGGAAACAATGATATCTGCCTTAGGAAGCAGTTACAGTGCAGCAGAAAGTATATGGAATCTGGAGGCCTAGGTCCTAGGTTTGAATCTGGACTCTGCCACTTGCTAGCTGTATAACTTTGTATAGCTGGCTTACCTCTGTAACTCTAATTCCTCATCTTTAAGATGGAAATAATACCTGGGGTGCCATTACAAGAGTCAAATATGAATGGATATAAAATGCCTTATGGGTGTCAGTTATTACTAGAAGGGCCTCAGAGATATTAATTTTTCTGCCAATAAAATAACCCTTGAAGACAATGTAAGTTATAGTGGGTTTGCAATCTATATTAATCTATAATATATATTAATCTATATTATCTCTACTGAAGGTACTACCCATATTGATGAAACCATAAATTCTTAAAGTATTGAAGCCCTAATATGAACATTATCATCAATATCAAATGTCCATTATATCAAACTTGGCTATAGATTAACTTGTTTCTTCAAACAAATTAAGTGTGACAGACAGCATTGATGCTTCAGAAAAGTAGCAGGACAACATCAAATCGAAAGTACTTTCCATTGTTCCTGATCATAGCCAATCCATGCCTGCCCATCCTCTTGTCAATGACCTCCCATAAGTTTGCTATAGAAGAGTATACTCAATGTGCTCGAGACCTGACTCACTTTCTCCTGACACCACGAGGATGCAGATGGGGCACCTGGGATGTTCCCATAGCATCCTTCTCATTCTTGCCACTTAACCAGTCCAGGCATTTATCTAATAAGATTTTTTTTTACTCTTTTATCTTTTAAGTGCCCCATTTGTTATATATTTCAACCTGGCCACATCTACCATAGGTCTTTCCATTGCCATTTACATTGGTAGAATGATATTAATTTTTAAATCTATAGAGACTGTTGTATTCCATGTCTCATAGCCATTTCATGATTTAGATAGAATATTAGCATTAAGTAATAGTCCTTCATTTCTGTGAGAAGTTCCTTCTCTTTAATTATGATCTGAACTCATTTATATTTGTGTTATCTGTTGCAGACATACAACTTAATGTATGGGCTCAACGGGCTGGTCATCCAACCTTGCCATTTATCCTTTCAATCTGTTGTAACCCATAAAAGAAAAGATATAAAATCAACATCCCCAAAATTGTCAACAATTTTGTAACTAATGAAACTCACTAATCAGAAGATAGAGAAGTTCTATGCACAAAATTCAATGTATAAAATATCTGTGAAATGACTTATTAAGACATACTCCAAGACATATGTAATGAAAACTATAAAATATTCTTCACAGAAATGAAGAAAAGAATTGGAGAGATATACATTGTTCATGATTGGATCACACCAATAGAATTAAAATTATAATTATAATAAAGCCAAAATTAATTTAGAAATTTAGTGTAAAGCCAATTATACTGCCAAAGTGTTTTCCTAAAAAAAAAAAACTACACAAAAATGATGAGAATGTTAATTTGAAGGAATAAAAATAAAATTCCTCAAGAAAAAAATTTTTTGTAAAAAGTAGGAATAAGAGAGACCACAATTATCAGTTTTCAATCTATGTTTTTAAGGAGTAATCATCAAAACTTTAGAAAAGTTGGTCATTGGAACCAACTGGACAAGCAAGAACTCGAAGACCTCAAAATAATCACACATAAGACAAGTATTCAGTAAACCCAACAAAATGCACTATTGGATGAAGGACTGTCTGGAACAATGATAATATTTATCTGCCTTGATTATACCATAATGTTGCTGTAAGAACAAAATACTTAGTAGTAGTAAGAGTAGTATTTAGTAAGAGTAAGAGTAAGAGTAGTAAGAGGAGGAGGAGGAGGAGTAGTAGTAGTAGTAGTAGTAGTAGTAGTAGTAGTAGTAATGCTACTACTGCTACTATTAAAAATAACTGATATACATTCATGTAATGACTTAAGTTTGGAAAACATTTTTATTAGCCATCAAGTAATATGTGTGAAAATGCTTTGAAAACATAAAATTCTATATAAATGTGAGTTTCTAGAATCACTATTTATTATGTATAAGTACTTTCACTAAATCTTGGATTTGTTTGCCATGTAAAATATCTAAAAATCCCTAATATCTTGCTTCCTTTTCCAGAAAATTTAAACTGCTATATCAACCTCTTTTCGATAAAACCAGGGCTTTTTTTGTCCCCGAGCTAATCTGTCAGACTATTTTTTTTTATGCAAACTTCCTTAAAGTACATCCAGCACACATTTCCTCCAAAGTTTCCTTCTAGCATCCACGCACACACACACACATTTTTAGCAAGTTAATGAAAACCACACAGAATATTTGTTAAGTCACTTACTCACTTGTGCCTGTTATTTCTTACCTTTATGGGAAATTTTTGGCATGAAAATGAATGTTCACCAATTACTGTCAAGTATCTGTTGTATTGTTTCTCATTTTTGCTGTAAATCACAATTGTGCTTCTTAAACTGTTTGAATGCCCAAGAATACTTTCTCGCCAGAAGGTTGAACACCCCAGATAAGCAGAGGAAAGCATGAAAATCAAAGGCTAACCAAGGTAATAGGATCACAAAACCCAAGAGCAAAATTCTGTTCAGGGAAAAAGTGGAGTCTCCTAAAAATGTAATCTCTGGGCCTCCCTCCTGCTTCAAAATTCATGGAAGATGAAGAACAGGGAAAGTGATTTAGACATACACATGGATTAGGAACCAAAAATACCGATGAACTACTGGAGGTCAATTGCTTTAGATTAGCCTCTCTCTCAAAAGGCAAGGAGAACATTGCAAAAAGATGTTTCGAGCCTCATAAGATGTGTTGTGTCAAGAAAAGATATTGTTGCTGAAGAACACTGAGGCCAATGGCTGTCTTACTGGATGGTGTCTACTTCCAGGTAATCATTATTCTGTTGAACTCCTTGAAATGTTTTTGTTTTTTGTTTTGTTTTTTTCCTCCAGAGAGAGAATATTCCATTTCAATCTGAGCTTTTATGGGTGGGGAAGAAGGAGAGAGGTTCTGCCATCCTTTTCCCTCAAGCCTCCCTCACTCCATCATTATTGAACCCTTTTATCACTGGGCTATTTCAGGAGGAAATTTCCTGAAAGGTGGATTCAAAACACATAGGATTTGGAAAGGGGATTTCAGAAGTGACTGCCACTTCTTCCAAATTTGGTGACTACCTGGTTCCTGCCTACTTCTCTTAATGTAAATTCAACTGAGATTTTATGAATGGCTCACTGGGAAAACTGAAAATGTTATCGGCGGGTAACTTACATTGTTTCAGAAACTCTTGACTTGACTGATGTCAGTTTTCATTCTTTCCTCCAGTATAGTATATACAAAGGTGGAGAGGTGGAGGTTAAGTATTCTTTGGCCTCTAAAAAGTTAATACTTCCTGTATAGATTAGATTCCATAAATTCCAGGTGCCAGGCCATCAAGACACCTAGTAACTAGCATTCTCTCTGTACCACACACGGCACTCCATCTCCCAGTTCCCATCTCTCTGACTTTATACAGGCTCATTGTTTGGTGACTTTTATGCAACAACAATAATAACCCAAAAAGTCAGGATAAAGAAGTAAACATCAGTTTATTTTCACATAAATTGCAAAAGAGAAGGAAGAAATTCAGGAAGGGAAGTATTCATGTAAATATGGGATTTTGTACACCAGGAGAGTTTGATAGAATGAATCAAGCAGATGATAATATAATGGGGACTCGGTGATAAATGTAGATATAAAATTGGCTAGACATAATAACAATACCACCATAGCATCGTTCCATCACTGCTTAAGACTCACCTGTACATGAGAAATCATCCACACGGATATATCCTGGGATACAGTCACAGCGATACGATCCCGGCAGGTTAACACACACTGTGTTAGCATGGCAATAATGCATCTTAGCGGCACACTCATCAATATCTGAAGGAGAGAAGAACCAGAAAGAGACCTATCAGTGAAGCACCCCAGTGCCTAGTCAAGAGCACAATAATTTTGGAATGAAACAGAAGACAAGGACCCTTTAAAGCAATCAAAATTGGTCTGACATATTAAGAGTAAAAGCTTAAGTGTGAAACAGCACATGAATGGGACTGATTCTCAAACCAAAAAAAATTATTTTTAGAAAAAATATGACTCAAGATATAACTGCTAACAACCTAGGAAATAGGGAGGCAGAGTCTTGCTTCTCCATTTTTCCTCTTAAAATAGAGAATTCTTTAAAAACCCACAGCCAAGAAGAGTTGTGTCCATGGTTTTGATATGTGTTAATTAATATTTATCACATGTCCACCATTTATAGCACAGTTTTCCCTAGAAAGATCAAGGGAATAGGTATAATTGTACTTGTCTTTCTTACTAAGACATGTTTTACTCTATATACTGCAAAATGCTGTCACAGAGGGGTTCATTTTGCCCACAACAGATTGCTGATACAGCAGCTGTAGCAGGCATGCCCACAGACATGATGCAAATTACTGTAGTTATTCAACAATCCTATGACATATACTGTGGGATATTATAATGGGATGTTCCAGCACAATTCAATATTATTAATGGGGGAGGGGAGAACTATTTATGTTCCTCTCTCTGGCTTTCATGATAAGAACTGAATTAACTAGTAATTGGGAGTGAGTTGAAATATATTCTGGCTGTAGTCATATTAGGAATATGCTGTCAAAAATTAGATTGTATCTACTCTAGTAGTAGGACAGCTAGGTGGTGCAGCAGATAGAGTGTCAGTCCTGGAGTCAGGAAGCCCTGAGTTCAAATCTGGTCTCAGACATTTACTAGCTGTGTGACCCTGGGCAAGTCACTTAACTCTGTTTACCTCAGTTTTCTCATCTGTAAAATGAGCTGGAGAAGGAAATGGCAAAGCACTCTATTACCTTTACCAAGAAAGCCCCAAAATGGGGTCATGAGGAGTCAGACATGACTGAAATGACTGAACAATAATAATAACAACTCTAGGGGTCACTTTGAAAAACATACACTTTGCAAAGGAGATATGAAATGAATTAATTAGTTGACTATATATTTCTAAAGATGATCACTGTGACACTCCCTAAAATCCTTAGACTTGGTTACTGAACATTAAAACAGGCAGAGTATGTATTTGGGAAACTCATTCCTTTCTTTCTCTAAAAGGAAGTATTTTTAAAAAATCACAATTAAAATAACCATAGAGTAGGAAAAAAGAAGGGGCAAAGGAAAATAAAGAAGAAAACAAATAAAAGAAAGAAAAGGAAGGGGAAAAAGTATAAGAGGAGGAAAAGAAGCAATTATTTCAGTTTTCTCCCAACAAGGTCTTCAAAGAGAGACATGGAGTTAGTTAACTTCCCAGAAACCCAATTTTATTTATGTAACATCCAAACAATGGAGACACATTGTTGACCTCTTATTTAAAAGAATGGCTGAGCAAGTTGTGATATATGATTGTGACAGAACCCTGCTGTGCTATAAAAAAGATAAGCTCATTAATTTTCAAAAACGTCGATAGATTTGCACTAAATAATGAAGATCAAAATGACAAGAACTAAGAGAGCATTGTATACAGTAATAACAACACTGTTTTAAGAACAACTTTGAGCAACTAAGTCATTTTGACTATTGTAAATGCCCAAACTAACTACAAAGGACCTATGAAGGAAGATGGCATCTGCATCCAGAGAAAGAATTGATAAATAGAAGGATATATAGAATGATTTTACATATAAATTTGTGTATATATAAATATATAATATGCATATATACATATTTGTAAACACATGTATATTTGTGTCTAATGCTATCCATCTCCACAGTGAGGGGAAGGCAAAGAAAAAAAAAGAAAATTACATGATAACTTTATTGTATATTAAAAAGGAATAGCAAATTGTACATAATAGATTTGCAGTTTCATGTGCAAATCTTTTTTTTAAATTCTACTATGTTATAGGAATCCTTGTTTTATTTCATAAATTAAAAATAAAATAATTTTTTTTTAGAAAGAAAAATTAACCAGTCTCAGGGTCATGCTGACAATGGCCTTTGAACAGCTATATTTGGTGCCCGACAAAAAAGTCCCAAAACATTCCTTCAGGCAAATAGGTAGGAATTAGATCTTCATAGTTTCTTATAAAGAGAAAAAAAATAATCTATGGAGCTTCAGGTAAGATTTGAACATCAATCTGAACTTCTTGCTTCTAAATGAAATTCGTAAATGACCACAAATATTTAGCTAGTTTTGTGAGTCTGTGGAGACAAACAAAATTTATAACCTGATGATTCACCTTAGCCTGGTGAACCCCTCCACCATTAGATGTTTATAGACTGACTTTATGGTCTGCAGACCCCTCAAGTTTAGAAGAGAGAGGTTCATCCCTAGTAGGCTGGTTACCAAATGATAACTTCTTTGGCCTTGATATGTCATGAAATAAATAAAAGTTATAACTGCGATAATAAGTAACACATATTTTAAGATTTACAAAGCCCTTTACATACATCTTTTCTTTGAATCCTCATAAAAATCCTCAGAGGTAGGTAGTAGATGTCTTATTATGTACATCTGACAGATGAGAAAATTAAGTCAGTGAATTTAGGTGATTTGTCTATGATCACATGTTGTTGAGTATCAGAGGTAAGATCAAAGCACGTCTCTTCAATTCCAGCACTGTTTTCAGCACAATGGGCTGACTCCTTAAAAAAAAAACAGCATTATATTACATTTTAAGTCCTTTTCTTACAACAACCCTATGAAGATAGGTTGTGTAAGTATCAATAATTCAGTCAAAATTTATGAAGTTCTTACTGTGTTGCAGGCATTGTACCAACACTAGGGACAAAAGAAAGGTAGAAACATGGTCCCTGCTGTCCAACCAACATTAGAATGAGAGAGCGAGAACATGAAAAAATTGTTCAAACAAGATATATACAGTGCAATTGCAAAGGAACCTCAGTGGGTAAGAAACTGAGTTGAAGGAATTCAATTATTGTACTAAAATAATTTCCACTATACCATGCCAGCTAGGATCACGATACTCTGCTCTGGTCAGATCACCTCTGATGTGATCTTCAAAGCCTAGTGAGGCAGCATGGCATACCGGATTGAATGCCAGACTTGAGGTCACAAAGACCTGGGCTTTCTCTACACTATATGAGAAGTATCAAACATGCAGCCAAAGGGCTTCGTGGTTCATAAGTATTTATGAAGCTCCTACTATGTTCCACACATTGTGCTGAGCACTGGGGATACAACAAATGGCAGAAGATAGTCCCTGATCTCAAGGAATTCACAGTAATGGGGGAAACAATATGCAAACCACTAACCCACTACATACGAACAAGGTATGTAAGATTCACCGTGGAATTATTTTAAACTAGTTTCTCTGGTGCATTTAATAAGATTTCAACTTGAAAATTTCACTTATATTGCTACATTTCAAGACCTACTAAACCTAGCAGTTATTCCTCAGTAATATAATGCCTACTTTGCTCCTGTTAGTCAGCTACCTACAACTGGGAGAGAATTTCTTTTGTGTGAAGTGTTAGGATCACAAGAAAGAAAGAACCTTATGATCATCTGAATCATTGAATTTCAGAGTTGAGAGGGACGGTAGTAGGCATTTACCCTCTGACCTATACCTGAAAGAAACCCCTCCATTAGGAAACCCAAGAGATAGTCATCCACTAAGTCAATCAACCACTCTGCTCATTTTATTTTCTAATTATTAGGAAAACTTCCCAGACACTAAGTCTTAATTTATATCTTGGCTACTGCTACCCACTGGTCCCAATTCTGCCCTCTAGAACAAAACAGAACATATCTAATCCATTTTCTACACAAAAGCTTTTCACAAGCTTGAAGAGAGTTAGCACATTCTAATCTCATGTCTTTTGTTCAGCCCAAATATCACCAGTCCCCATAAGACATGGGCTCACGCCTTTCACTATTTTCATTGTCCTTCTCTGTATAGTCTCCAGCTTATCAAAGTCCTTCCTAAATTGTGGCAGCCAGAAGTAAAAGTGATACATCACGTATGATCTAACCAGGGCAGAGTATTGAGATACTAGCACCTTCATATTCCTGGAAACTGTTTTGACTGCCATATCACATTGTTGTTTCATATTGAACTTGTGTTCCGTAAACATCTCGAGTTTGTTTGTTTGTTTTTCTTTTTTTCAGACAAACTGCTGCGTAATCATGACTTCTCCATCTTACATTTGCAAAGTGAAGAATTTTTTAACAGATGTACAAGACTTGACATCTTAGGCCTGTCAAGATCTTTTTGGGTCCTAACTGCATTAAGTCCCCTCATTTTATAACCAAGGAAACTGAAACCCACAGGATGATGTCTTGACCCTTCTCATAAATAAGTAGCAAGTAAAAGAGCTGATATTTCACTCCAGGTCTTCTGACTGCAAAATTGATTCTATTTAGACTACTTTATTCCGTCTCATTCTGACACCTTCAGATATTGTCAATTTTAAGGGGAGAGGAACCTAGAGTTGAGGGCCAGAAACTTCTGGCATAATGGCCCATACAATCTGTTAAATGAAAAAATACCAACTTCACAGAAGTATAGATATTTTGAGTGTCTTATGTACCATAGGACTCCATTCTCATTTCTGATGTCTGTTGCCACTCATTTACTTTGACGACATTTTTTATGTCATCTACAACTCATTAAGGAAAATGAAAGCTAGAGTGGTGCCCAACAGCCCCAAAGACTGAGTTGGGGCATCCAGGACAAAAGAATGTCCTCAAATGCTGAGCTCTGTCAATGCCACTCTTTGAGTCAGTTGCATAAGTGTTCCCTTTACTGAGTCTCCTCTTGAAGCTTAGTTAAGTTAAAGCCCTTCCACATAGTCATTGATTCATGAAAGAACTCCTCATGCACCAAATGGCCAGCATGATATCTGGTGTTCTTGATCCATGGCTTCCT